GATGGGATTATAAGTGTGTACCACTGTACTTGGCCAAACTTAATTTACAGTTTATAATATTTTATATTCTTGTGGATGCTTTGAAGGAAAATTTAGTGAGTATTATAGACCATTTGTAATAAGAATGAAAGATGAATATCCCTTATCCAAAGTGGTTAGAGCCAGAAATACTTCTGATTTTTTTGGAATATTTTCACATCCATATATTTGCCAATGGGATGAAAATCTAAGTATGAAGTGATTTGTGTTTCAAATAAGTCTATACACATTAAGTAATGTAATAACAATATTTTAAATACTTTGTGCATAAAACGCTTCTTGGTATAGAATTTTCCGCTTGCAGAGTCATGTTGGTGTTTAAAAAGTTTCAGATTTTAAAGGATGTTGGATTTTGAAAACTTCAGCTAGGAATTTGTAACCTGTAGTAAGAAAGGACTGTAGTATGCATGAGGCTATGGATTTTGTTCCTGGCACTGTATTCTATCTCCACCCCCCCCCCCAAGCCAGATGTACCTAATGGTTACCCTAAACAAACAAACAAATTGACATTCAACTCAAAAGGAGAAGAGCTGGTATGGTGGTACACACCTGTAATTCCTAGCATTGGGGATGCAGAAAGCTGGAGGGTCACTTGAGCTTAGGAGTTTGAGACCTGCTTAGGCCACAGAATGAGACCATTTCAAAGATGCAAAAAGAGATTACAAAAAACAAAATAAAACCCTGAGAGAACCCAGGAAAGATTCAATGAAGTATGGTCAGAGGCTGAAGCCAGATTACCTCTGTTTTACTTTAGGCCAAGGGGTCGTTTGAACAGGGTAGGTATTATGTTCACAGATGTCCATGGAATGAAGTCCAGGGGTGCTGAGTTTGTGTGTGGAAAGGGAGGTGGGCTGGCCGGCCATTCCACGGTGGTGTAGAAAGAGGGATTATGCCTAGACAAGTGCTCATAAGTAGAGAAGTTGGAGAGGGTAGACTGGAGCCACATTATTAGTGACCAGCAATGCTAGGCTAAGAATTTTTTTTTTTTTTGCCGGTCATGGACCTGAACTCTGGGCCTGGGCGCTGTCCCTCAGCTTTTCAGCTCAAGGCGAGTGCTCTACTGCTTGAGCCACAGCGCCACTTCCGGCTTTTTCTGTTTATGTGGTGCTGAGGAATCGAACCCAGGGCCTCAGGCATGCAAGGCAAGCACTCTACCACTGACCCACCTTCCCAGCCCATTTTTTTTTTTTTAAACAGGCTCAATCCACAGTATTGTTCTTGTATAAAAATCCTAGGTTGGGGGCTGGGAAGGTAGCTCAGTGGTAGAGCACTTGCCTTGCATGCATGAGGCTCTGGGAGTGGCGCTGTGGCTCAAGTGGTAGAGTGCTAGCCTTGATCTGAAATGCTGAGGGATAGCGTTCAGGCCCTGGGTTCGATTCCTCAGCACCACGTAAGCAAATAGAAAAAAGCTGGAAGTGGTGCTGTGGCTCAAGTAGTAGAATGCTAGCCTTAAGCTGAAGAGCTGAGGGACAGCGCCCAGGCCCAGAGATCAGGCCCCATGACCGGACCCCCCCCACCAAAAAAAAAAAAATCCTAGGTTGTAACCACAACCAGAGCCTAGGTCCTCTGTATGGAGATTCTGGTGTGGGTTTTCACAAGATGGCCAGTGAATTCCTGATAGGGAGATTTGGTGAACACAGTCTCTTTCCAAAGATTGGGGCATCAGGTAGCAATAGGTCTTGGAGATGGCATCAAAGGTGAATCTTTAGCAAAATTGCCCAGTCCCTGGCTGAGATATAGTAGTCATCCAAACTAGTCATCATCAACAGCTTCTTGGAGACAGGAGCTGAGAACATCTCAGTGTCTCTGGGGCAGAAATGAGGTACACCAGCACTGAACCACAGTGGCCTGGCACCTTGTATGGGACAGTTTGGGGCTTGCCAGTCTTGTTCCCTCAGTGGCCTCTCCTCACAGAGACTATGGAGAGCTTGGCCAAGATGGTGGCCTTTTGGTTGGCAGGTGGCTACCTTGAATCTGGTGCACCGGCCTGCACAGCTCTGCTTCTGCACACACATAATCTTTAAGCATTCACCCTTGAGGGACACCCCCAGGAAGAAGTCAGTAATCTCAGGCTCCTTGAGGAGCAGAGAGGAAAGACAGGAAGGGAGAAATCCTCTGAAGATGTGATCTTCATGTCCCTAGCCGGATGGCCTACTTGGTGATGGGGATCCATTCCTTGTCATTGGGTTTGCCTCCGCCAGTTCCATGGTGGCTGTAGCCTTTGGAGTCTCCTCTGAAGCCACCATGGCTTCCCATGTCTGGATCAGCACTGGCTTCATCCGCTATTTGGTATTTTCCTGGGGAAGATAGAAAGGCTAAGTTGTTGTTGTTGTTGTTGTTATTATTGTTGTTGTTGTTGTTGTCAGTTGTGGGCTTGAATGCAGGGCCTGGGCGTTGTCCCTGAGCTTTTTCACTCAAGGCTAGTGCTCTACCACTTTGAGTCACAGCGCCACCTCTAGTTTTCTTGTGGTCAATTGGAGATAAGAGTCTCATGGATTTTCCTGCCTGGGTTGGCTTTGAACTGTGATCTTCCGATCTCGTCCTCCTGAGTGACTAAGATTATGGGCATGAGCCACTGATGCCCAGCTAGGCTAAGAATTTATCATTTATTTAGAAAGGAATTAGGGAATGGTGTAGAGATTTTAATGAGGAGACTCAAAGATCAAAGGTAGTGGCTGTGGGATGTATTCAGGCCACCTGTTAACCAGCCAGTGCTAGAGCTCGCCTTTCTATCTGCATCGAGTGTAAGTAAACAGGTAGACTGGTGCCCTTGAACCTTTGGGAGCTGCTTTGGAACCCACTGCTGCTTTGTGAACCTTGGTGGCACTTCAGGTCCTTGCCCAGGCCCAGCAGCGATGTCATTCACCATGAGCTAATTCATTGTGAATTTAAAATCTGCACCCTTAAGTTTAACCCATTTTATTTTAGTTCATTTCCCTTCTAGCCGAGAATATGAGTTGCCAGCTCACAAAAGGCCGATTGAATAAGAATAAACTCAGGGATTAAGTGTATTTTTATGGTAATGTCACCTACAGAAAATGGTTGCCTCCTTTCTCAAATCCAATCAAATACTTTTCAAGAATGATAATGATGAAGGATACTAATAAGAACCAGAATGAAATTCACTGTTTGCATTTTTCCTACTTGTACGTGTGTATCATTTTATATCTATCTATATCTATCTATCTATCTAATAGATGTGCCTCAAAACTCTCCTTTTTTCTTTTCCTAGCTTTTTTAAAAACAGAATTTCAATGTTAGATTATTCTATTATCTCTCTCTTTTTTTCTTTTTTTTTTGTGTGTAACATCTGCTGTTTAAAAGGTTCTTTTCTCTATTCTCTACATGCCATTCTAAGAAGAGTTTTATTAAGTTCCTTTAAAGCACGTGGCTCTCAGCTATTTTTTTTCCTCCATGGGTCAGCCTTCAAAAGAACAAAAGATTACTTATCCCGCCTTAGGGTGAGCTGTTTGGTTCTGGATCCTGTTGAATTAATTCTGCTATTCAAGGATAAGACAGGATGAAAATGTGAGAAAAGTGTATTAAGGGACAAGTGGGCTGGCACACAGAAACTTCCTTGAGTGTCTTCAGAGGTGTTTAATTGCACATGGGATGCCTTGGTTTGCTACTAAGCAAAGGATCCTTGTTGTCTGAAAGGTTTCTGAGACCCAGGATGAATCAGTGTCTTCTAAGTTTGGAGAATGTGTTAAAACAAAGCCACAGAGAGTCCTTTCCAACCCCTTCTCTGAGGGTTTCCACTGTGCCCTCTTTTCAATTTTTTTTCCTTGCAGAGGGTGCCTGTGGGATTTGTGTGCCATTCTTGCCTGCTGTTGGAAAGTCTCATCCAATTAGGACAGGGAGGTATTCAGCTTTCATTTTTCCTGTGTGCCAAGGATGGGACTTGAACTCAGGGTCTGGGCACTGTCCCTGAGCTTTTTTGCTCAAGGCTAGTGCTGTACCACTTGAGACACAGTTCCGTTTCAGGCTTTTTGGTGGTTAGTGGGAGATAATAGTCTCATGGACTTTCCTGCCTGGGTTAGCTCTGAATCTTGAGCCTCAGATCTTGGCCTCTTGAGTAACTAGAATTATAGGTGTGAACCACCAGTGCCTGATTCGTGATTATTTTAAATGAAGTTTATCCATCTGTCAAGGATTATTTCTCAATGCAACCCCATGTTTTATTGCAATCTATTTTCTTTCCTTCTCCTCCTTTTTCTCCTTTTTCTTCTTTTTCTCCTCCTCCTCCTCCTCTTCTTCTTCCTTCTCCTCCTCTTCCTCTACCTCCTCCCCTCCTCCTCCTCCTTTTTTTTTTGTTGGTCATGGGGCAAGAACTCTGGGCCTGGGCACTGTCCCTCAGTTCTTCAGTTCAAGGCACATGCTCTACCACTTGAGCCACAGCACCACTTCTGGCTTTTTCTGTTTATGTGGTGCTGAAGAATCGAACCCAGGGCCTCATGTATGCGAGGCAAGCACTCTACCACTGAGCCTCCTTCCCAGCCTCTTAAACCTATTTCAAAACCTTAAACCTTCTATAAAAAAAGAAAGAGGGCTTGAGAAGGCGCCTCAGTGCTTGCCTTGCATGCATGAGGCCCTGGGTTTGATTCCTCAGCACATCATAAGCAGAAAAAGCCAGAAGTGGCACTGTGGCTCATGTGGTAGAGTGAGTACCTTGAACTGAAGAGCTGAGGGACAGCGCCCAGGCCCAGAGTTCAAGCCCCACAACCACCCCTCCACCACCCCCCCAAAATAGGTCTAAGACAGGAACTCAGCCTCAGTCCTTGAGGTTTTGGTCATTGGCCAGTGCTCTACCAACTGAGTCATACCTCCAACTGCAGATGATTGCTTGTTTCTTATTTTTTGTGTGTCCCAAGAGTTTAAGCTGGTGACATGTTCTCGGAGTGAAAGAGTTTTGAAGCTTTGACGAGGTGAAAAGGTTCCTGAATTTGCTTTTTCTTTCCTAGCCAAACAGGAAGACACTCAGAAGAAAACCTTCACGTGCTGGATAAATTCACAGTTGGCAAAGGTGAGGGGGAAAAAAAGAGCAAATTGTGTTATCAGGGTATTTGTTACCTTTCTACTCTCTTGGTTTCGGCCCTAACGAGGCTATTAAAAAGAGGCCCCAGTAAACTAGGAAACGTTATGGAAATCTTTTCATAAAAAAACTGTGCTGAGCCTGGCGCTGGTGGCTCACGCCTGTAATCCTGGCTACTCAGAAGGCACAGATCTGAGGATCACAGTTAGAAGCCAGCCCATACAGGAAAGTCCGTGAGATTCTTATCTCCAACTAACTAGCAGAAAACCAGAATTGGCTCTGTGGTTCAAGTGGTAGAATGCTAGCCTCGAGTTGAAGAGCTGAGGGACAGCGCCCAGGTCCAGAGTTCAGGCCTCATGACCGGACCAACCCCCCACCCCCCAAAAAAAACCCCATAAAACTGGGAGAGAGCAAGGGAAGGGGTGACATTGTCCAAAAAGAAATGTAGACACTACCTGACATATCACTGTGACTCCTCTGTACATCACCTTTATAATAATAACTTAAAAAAACATATAAAAAGAATTGCTGAAGGCTTGGGGATTTAGCTCAATGGAAGAACACTTGCCTGGTGCAAAGCCCTGAGTTTAGTCTTCAGCTCTGCAAAACAAAACCAAAAACAAAACAGCACTGATAGCCAGCTTATCTTGACACACTTGTATTCTTTCCCAACTCAACAACAGAGTACTTAGGTTAAGGATATGGAACAGTGCTGTGAAAACACTCAAAGTGGTAATATTTCTTTCATCAAATGGAAGGGTAATAATAAGGTGAGTTGTCTCTACTGAGTGTTACATGTTTGAACTGTCTCACACTCTTTAAAGATCATGATTTGAAGTCCTCATGACATTGTTTTTAGGTCAAGTTTAGCAATATAGTACATTTTAGTGTGCCTACTTGTATATATATTTATTGTGCTGGTAGTGAGGGCTTGGACTCAGGCCTAGTGCTCTTGCTTAGCTTTTTCTCTCAAGGTGGTTACTCTATCACTTGGACCACCCCTATACTTCTGGAGTTTTGAATCTTTCAGATTTGTTTGCCCAGGCTGGCTTCAAACTATGATCTTAACCTCCTAAGTAGCTCAGATTATAGGCATGAACTATCAGCTCCTCCCTTATTTTATTAATTTTATTGTTTTAATTTAATTTTACTTCTTTTTGTGTGTCAGTCTTAGGGCTTCACCTCAGGGCCTGGGTTCTGTCCCAGAGCTCCACTTGCAGCTTTTTGGTAGTGTATTGGAGATAAAAAGTCTCCAGTGAGACTTGCTTTCTTGCTCAGGCTGGCTTCAAACTGTGATTCAGGATTACAGGTGTGAGCCACCAGCATCTGGCTGTTAACCTTGTTTTTCAAAATGGTGTCTCTCTAAGTTACTGAAGCTGGTCTTGAATGCAAGCTCTAGAGATTTACTCATCTTAGTGGGCCAGTTATTTGGGACTAGAGGCTTGTCAGCGAGGTCACATTTCTTTATTCTTTTGATATTGGAGATTGAACCCAGGGCCTCATGCATGCCATACAAGTGCCCTACCATTGAGCTACAATCAGTCACTTTTGATATTGGAGATTGAACCCAGGGCCTCATGCATGCCATACAAGTGCCCTACAGAGAAGGTATGTACCTTGTCCAGAGTCATAAAGCTTGTCAGTGATAGTGCTGAGGAACAAATCCAGGCACTCTGGATCCAGGCTCCTTGATCCTAATTCGGGTGCCATTCTATATCTGAGTGAGGCTGGGTACCTCAAATAACCTAGAGGCATGGTGAATGACCCCTTACCTACATTGTTTCCTCTTTGCCTATCCCAACACAATGCCAGTAGTGCTAACAAAGGGTAAGTGCATAAGCAGATTACCTCAGAAATGTAATCTGCTCTCTAAATAGGTCACTGTGGGCACCTTCTGAATGAATGTCTCTAATGTCATTTTCTACATGCAAGTTTTAAGCTTAGTGAAAGTACCACACACAAAAAGTATTGTGTGACTGGAATTTACCATGAGAATGAAGTTTGCTGCTTTTCTTATCAAGCTGTGATGTGAAACTTCTTTTTGATGCTAGTACTGAGGCTAGACTCATGGCCTAGGTACTGGTCCGTTAGCTTTTTGACTCAAGGCTGGTGCTCTATGCCTTGAGCCATAGCTCCACTTTTGACTTTCTGGTGGTTAATTGAAGATAGTGTCTCACTGAGTTTTTTCCTGCTGGGGATGGCTTCAACCTGCAATCCTTAGATCTCAGCCTTCTGGGTAACTAGGATTAAAGGCGTGAGCCACCAGCACTTGGCTTGATATGAACCTTTGCCTGTTCTGCATCATTGTGTCAATTAAAAATGAAATTACTGCTGAGACACTTTGTTTTGTTTTGTTTTCTAAAGATAGAGTACACTTATGAGACCCATGAAGGTATAATGTTTATTTTCTTCTTGTTGCATTCTGGAGGTGCTGAGGTATGAACTCGGGGCCTTGGGTTTGATAGGTAAATGTTGTACTGTTGAGTCTCCCCTTCAACCCTGAGTTACCATTTGTCTCTGCCTTTTGCAGCACACTCCTCCCTCGGTTATATCAGACCTATTCACAGACATCAAAGAGGGCCACGTCCTCCTGGACCTGCTTGAAGTACTGTCGGGACAGCAGTTGGTATGTCCGTGACACCAAAGAAACTTCGTATTGCTTAAGGAAAATGCATTTCATGTTCCTAAGTAATATATTTGCTTGAAATTTGTAGCCTCGGGATAAAGGAGCCAATACATTCCAGTGTAGAATCAATATAGAGAATGCCCTGACATTCCTCAAAAACCGATCTGTGAGTACACATTTCACCCGTAAAGTCTGTAGGTGTGATTAGTTTTGCGCATGCTTTTTCTCCTTTTAACCTGTGCTTCTCTGTTTGCAGATCAAGTTAATAAATATTCATGTTGCTGACATTGTAGAAGGAAACCCGTCCATTATTCTTGGCTTAATTTGGACAATTATACTGCACTTTCATGTGAGTAGTTTGATGATACGAAAACCACTTCGAATTCTCACAGTCTGAAATAAGTGTAATATGATAGTGCGATTTGATGCTAGATTCAGTCTGTGACTTTTTTTTCCATTATCATGAACTTGGAATCTGGAACAGGTTGAAAATGTGGGGCAGGTGCTTTCCCATGGGTTTTTTTCCCCCCTCTCTTTTTGGAAGTTGAATGCAAAGTGATCTTGACGCTGTCCACATTAGTACTAGCCTGAACAGAACCTAGCATGGGAAAATCTGCTTATATTGAGATTTAGTGTAGCAGAGGGGAGGAAGGAAGCCCCTGGAATAAATGATTGAAATCTAACCCACTAAACTTGCTCATATATCTCCATTTTTGAGGCCCCACGTCCAAGCTGACAGTGAATAATCCTGCCACAACCAAGTCAGTCCCAAGACTGACTTCTAGGCTCATTCCATTCCACAGACTTTTGAACATGGACTAACTGCACTAGCTACTCCTAGGGCTCATCAAAATAAGTTATGCTATAGTCCCTCACTTTTTAAAACTTAAGATTGACAGTTGTGTTCTCTTGGGCCTGGATTTTTTTTTTTTTTTTTTGTTGGTCATAGGGCTTGAACTCTGGGCTTGGGCACTATCCCTGCATTCTTCAGCTCAAGGCGAGTGTTCTACCACTTGAGCCACAGTGCCACTTCCAGATTTTTAGTGGTTTATTAGAGTTAAGAGACTCATAGACGAATATCTAGGATTACAGGTGTGAGCCACCGGCGCCTGGCTTGTATGCTTATTTAATACTAGGACTTCTGCCCAACCTAAGAAATTGCAGTTCTTTTCTTCTTCTGTGCTGATTCTAGGGCTTGAACTCAAGGCCTTGTGCTTTTTTGCCTGTACATCTTGCCTCTACTTCTGGCTTTTTAATGGTTAATTGGAGATAAAAGTCTCTGACTTTTCTGCTTAGATCCTCAGATCTTAGCCTCCTGAGTAGCTAGGATTACAGGCATGAGCTCCCAGTGCCTGCCCAAATCGAGTTTTCAGATAGTCATAATTACTTGTGAATGAACTTTAAAGATTATGTGAGGAGGGCTGGGAAGGTGGCTCAGTGGTAGAGTGCTTACCTTGCATGCATGAGGCCCTCGGTTTGATTCTTCAGCACCACATAGGCAGAAAAAGCTGGAAGTGGCACTGTGGTTCAAGTGGTAGAGCACTGACCTTGAGCTGAAGAGCTGAGGGACAGCGCCCAGGCCCAGAGTTCAGGCCCATGATTGACAAAATAACAACAACAAAAACCCAAAAGATTATGTGGGGAGACAAATGCTTATTTTAGAAAAAACTAGAATATAACCTCATTTATACAACATTCAGGACTAGTAAACCCAGATTGCCTATGACTTCTGGGCACATGCATTTGTAGGTAGAATATAATACCATGCATGAAGCTGAGGAAAGGTACATTTAGGATTGTGCTTCTTCCCTCTGGAAAGGAAGAGGAGTTGAGTTGGAGAGGGAAAGACAGTCAAACAAGGCAAGTTGTTAGGATTTGATCATCTGTGGGCATTTATTATTTTTCCCCATACTTTTCTAAGTTTGTTAAACATAATTGTAAATTTCAATGCAGATAATAAGAAATAATAATAATCTACCTCTCATGGGGTAACTACTGTACACAGTCTTAATGATACATGCAGAAGCAATTAATACATATTCATGTCAGCACAGTTGGTTCTGTAACTCTGTATCTCTGACTTACACCATTTGAAGATGGAAGATCATTTGTAAAAATATTTGCATGTGTACTAAACATACACAGAATTTTTTATTTCTACTCATTATCCTTTAAATAATACAGTATAACAACGATTTACATACCATTTACTATGTGTTAAGTATTATATGTCATCTAGAGATGACGTCAGTGCTCCACTTCTGGGGCGCAGTGGATGTCCCTTTTCTGTGGGATGTCATACCTGTATAGTGAGGACTGACCCCAGTCCAGATTAAAGGAGAGCCTGAAGTAGTCCCACATCACAAATGCAGTTATTCAAGGATTTGTCCAGAACTCATTTACCCAAAATTCAGATCTCACTGGGAAAGGATATTTTTTTTGGGGGGGAGGGGTCTTGTTTTGGCTGCAGTTTTGGGTCAAGGCTGTTAACAGCATTCTAAACATGTTAACAATCATATTTTTCTTAGATTGAGGAGCTAGCCCGGAGTCTTGCTTGCAACTATAATCAACCTACCCAAGATAGAGTGAATGTGGTCGAGTCCTCTCCTACCTCAAGTCCACCAGCGAAGAAATGTTCCAAAGCCCAAGCAAGGTGGCAGCTGTCCGCAAAGAAGGCTCTTCTGTTGTGGGCTCAGGAGCAGTGCTCCACGTAAGTAGTTTGATGCAACTCCAAGAGGCACACTCATAGAGAAGCTGTGTTGATAGAGCAAAGCAAACAAACCAATCCTCAGATCTCAGCCTCCTGAATAGCTAGGATTACAGGCATGAGCCATCAGGCCATCAGTACCCAAGTTGCATTTCTTTTTTTTTTCCCGGTCGGTTGTGGGGCCTGAACTCTGGGCCTGAGTGCTGTCCCTGAGCTCTTCAGCTCAAGGCTAACACTCTACCACTTGAACAGCACCACTTTCGGCTTTTTCTGCTTATGTGGTGCTGAGGAATCAAACCCATGGCCTCATGCATGCGAGGCAAGCACTCTACCACTGAGCCACCTTCCCAGCCCTCCAAATTGCATTTCTAACACCGGTGAACCAGGTGATGTTGGTGCTTCTGGATCAGGGACTGCCCTTTGAGAAAGAAGCAAGGTTTTGTGGTATTTTGAGCATTACCACACTTGATCTTATACTTTGACAGTGATATAAAATATTTTTCCTAGAATGATTTATACCATTTGTTTGATTCCTTGAAGTATGTTTTGGTCACTATTGAGTGGAATAAAGGGTTTTGATGTGTTATGTTTCTCAGTATGTATCCTGGCCCTTTTGTGACAGGTATGAGTCTGTCAGTGTGACAGATTTCAAGTCAAGCTGGAGAAATGGGATGGCATTTTTGGCTGTCATTCATGCCTTGCGACCAGACCTAATTGACATGAAGAGTGTGAAGCACCGGTCCAACAGAGACAATCTGAAAGAGGCCTTCAGAATTGCAGAACAAGAACTCAACATCCCCAAATTACTGGAACCAGAAGGTAGAGTCTCTCTCTCTTTTTTTTTGGCTGGTGCTGGGATTTGAACTCTGGCCCTGAGCACTGTCCCTGAGCTGCTTTTTTTTTGGTCAAGGCTAGTGCAATACCATTTGGGCCACAGTACCACTTCCTAATTTTTCTGAGTAGTTAATTGAAGATAAAAGTCTTATAGATTTTCCTTCCCGGGCTTGCTTTGAACCATGATCCTCAGATCTCAGCCTCCTGAGTAGCTAGGATCACGGGCGTGAACCATCAGGGCCTGGCTACAAGTACATTTCTTTTTTGACTGTGCCACCCCTTTTCTTGTTCTCTCTCTCCCAGAAACCAGTTGTCCACCATGTGGTGTAACTATTTTTAATCTTAAAGTCCCATGTGAGGGTGATTTGAAAATAACATCTCTATAAACAAACATAACAGCTTTATACTTTAGTTTTGGAGGGTTTAACTTAAACTCTTATTAAATTTCATGGAATTAGGAAGTCTTGCCAATTAGTTTACTTCAGTAATTGCAGGGTGAAGCCATAGCAGAATATAAACAATGCCTTTATGGGAATAATTGTAGTCTTGCCCTTAATTGCCTTCTATGGTGTTCTTCTTGATCTTATTATTTTGATGCTACATTTTCGCATGTAAGATATTTCTTTTGAGTCTTGAATTATGGTTGTTTACATATCTCCCTGTTCCCACTTCCTCCTCCTAGTTAAAGAAGAACCTTCCAGAACAGAAACAGCTGTCTTCCCTGTTTTCCTTATATGGTTGGGCAAGCTTTGCCCAACAACAAAATTCTAAATTGTGTTTTGATTATAATCACGGAGGTCATCATCAAATAATTTTAACCTCATAGGATTAATATTAAAGTAATTCTTTCTGAGAATTACTTTGCTGTGGATTGTATTAGATGTAATTGAGCAGTTAATCAAGAAAGAAATAGAGCTGGGAAGGTGGCTCAGTGGTAGAGCGCTTGCCTTGCATGCCTGAGGCCCTGGATTTGATTCCTCAGCACCACATAAGTAAAAAGAAAAAAGCTGGAAGTGGCGCTGTGGCTCAAGTGGTAGA